GTGTAAAGAAAAAGATTTCACCAAAAGGACAGCAACTTTGGCATATTTTGTTTTCTTTTAATGAGGTTCGAAATACTTAATGATCTCTTAAACAACGAATTCAGTCCGGTTTAATCAGTCAGGAATATATTTACTTTTTGTGGCGGCTTCTGTTTCGAATTGTATAAAATGATAAACATCCCTCTCAAGATCTGACAATTATCAATTTTTTTTTTTCTTTTTTTTTTACTCACCACAACGACGGCGGCGGTCGACGTACATTGGTGATTAAGATTGTAAAAAATAGCCATCCCGGTTAACTAGTGCAACTGTCGACACAAGATATCCACAAAATCGTAACGAAATATTATTATTATTTTTTTTTTTTTTTTTTTTTCAACCATAGCCACAATTTCTTTCTTCATAATGGTAGCTATTTTTCCCTCGATGAAGTCGTTTGTACACATACGGAAAAGAATTCTTTAAGCAAGTAATGAGATGTTAGTGTGATAAATGAAACTATTTTGTAACAGAACCAATTTCGTTGGAAGCAATTATTCTTTTTTTGTTTCTTTACATTAAGATACTAAATGATTGTAGGCGATAACCTTTTGATTGTTTCACTTTTAATTACGGTTTCTTTTTCCTATTAAAATCAGTAAAACCCTTACAATGGCAGTGACTGTTCGTGCTATCACACTGGATTTGAAACGAAACCATAACGATTTCTCAAGAATTCACATAAAACTCGACTAAAGAAATTCTGAATCATTACTCTAAAATATTGCTAGATTTACCGGCATACAAGACGCACGTTTTCAGGCATTATCTTTTTTTGGCGTCGACACATTGCAATAACGAATAACGGAAATTTCCATCGTTCATCAACACAAAAAAAGCGTCTACCAAAGACCAGCAGAAAATGTTTGAAGATTACTTGAATCACCATTGACAACTCTGTATTAGATACGCCGGTAACTATGATAAAAAAAATCTCCTTACTGATATAAAGTCATGTAGCAAAGTAAATCTAGCAAGCAAGTTTTAATGTTATTTAATGATTATAGCATAATTGTATTGGTTCCTAAATAAAATGATACTACTGTATAGAGAATGAGTGTTCTTCTTAAAGATGTTCTCTTGTAAAATCAACTAAGCGCTTCATGTATTTAACAAGTCTATTTTTTTTTTCCCCATTTTGAAATCAGCCATTTTGGATCTGACCAGTTACTGTTATCTGGTCTGTTTTCTCCAATTTCACTTTGTTTCTGAAAGCAGACGCATAGATATTCGGTTGGTTGTTGAATGTAACAAGGCCAAATATGATAGAATTTATGAAAATTGGTTTACTTTTGTTCGTCTGTTTAGAATACGTATGCGTACAAATAACGACACTAAGTATTCTGACTTTTTTGGACGCCAACTTCCGGTTTGGTGGGGTTGGTAAGCACAAGGCAGGTCATAAAACAGACATATATATATATAAAACAAAATTCTAATTAATCTTCAAAACGTGGATTTGGCTGAGGTCTCAAAATAGCGTTTTTCTCTTAATTTTCATGCATATTTTTTTTCTTTTTGGCTTAATTTTATTTTGTGGACTGATCATTCAAAATCTGGTTTCAATTTCAACGAGAGCAAATCAGTTTTTCTCCTCATAAATTTTCATTTTTTAAATAACATTTTTACCATTTCTTTACGTGTGAGTGTTTTTACTTCTTTCTTCTTCTAAAAAGCCTTTACAGCATGCGGTTTTCATTTTGTCGGCTTATGTTCATTTATTTAAGTGCGGGAGTTTTCTTTTAAGATTAAAAAAAAAAAACAAATTTTTGTGAGTCCCAGATAACGAGCTAGCTAACTCCAACCCCCGACTTTTCAGTGAATATAAAAACTTATCATCCATTATCATCGTCAATAGGTTTCGTAAGTGATTTACTCCACCTTGTTTTGGCACAAAGCCACAACTATAGGGCACCCGGTGAGGTTCGAACTCACTAGACATTAGTAATGGTCAACCAGACTAGCTCGCTGACCGTTACCCTATTGTGGGAAGCACTATATAATTTACTCAGTTATATACAGCTTCAATGCTTTCTTTCCGAAAAACCACCATATTGTAATCAAATTTCCTTAAATGTTGTGCACCATTCATGACTGTCCAGAAATGGCGGCAAGTGGTCACGGCGAAAAGGGGGAAAAAAACAAAAAAAACAAACAAAGAAACCCTAATTACCAACACAAGTGAATAAGTGGAGTCTACACATACACACAGATATATACATAAATACTACTATGTATATTTAAATATGTGTAAAGATTATAGTTTACATGTGCTAAAGTTATAGTACGAGCGTTTTCAAGTCAGACAAAGCTCGATAAAAAGAAATGTCATTAGAATTCTTAGACAAGTAAATATTTTATACACTGAGATATAATTGTCGATATTACGCGTCTTAAAATTATAGTATTGCAAGTTTTTTAAAGACGAAAAATATAGAAAGAAAAAAGTGAATTAAAGTAAATTGTAAAAGGAAAAAAAAAAAAACACTCGGAGATTGGGGAAAATGCAATTCATGATATGCGAATAAAACGTTTTCCTCTTATTTTTGGTTGTTGTCTGAAAGTAACATTAAAATAGATTGAAATGAAGTGGTCCACAGTAAAGTCAGTCTAGATCTAACATTAAGAACATTTAAAAATACCTTAATGTGAAATTCTGAAGGGAAGTCAGTTAATTCAATACAGATTTCAATAATTTTTTTTTTTTTGTTCCGCCATTTGGAATTCTAAAAAAAAAAAAAATCCAATAGTGTCTTCCATTCCGCCACAATCCAAGAATCTTAGGTACGTAAAGATAAGATAAACGTGCTGTCAGAAGCAGAAAAAAAAAATCAGTTTAAAATATTACTGGTTTGATCGGGTGCTTAAATGTAGCCCTTCTCCCTCGTGGGAACTGGGTTAACGATCGATCATATGATATCGGAAGGACGTGTGATAAAGGAAACCATGCCACAGAAGCCACAATTTGAAAGTCAAACTCCTGCTTCAAGGAGAAATAAGATTTCGTATCCAGTTTGCTGAGAATTAAAGACCATCTTATTATATTTCTACGCCACTTAATCAAAAAAAAAAAAAAAAAACAAAGTATTTTCAGTTATGTAAAGCCAAAAGATTTCGCCTTATAGAGAGACTGCTTATAGAACCTGGTAGTTCCCCACCTCCTAAGTACTACTCGAGTTCAACACCGCTTAACTACGGTGATCGAACCAGAACATCTTTGACCGTATTCTATAAACTATCAGAATAATGATATTTTGTACAATTAAGTATATTAAAACGCAAACTCATATTAAATATGTATACTTTTAAGGTATGCTATATTTATGAGATAAAGTTCTCAATATCAAAGATAGACCGTATGTAAATTTAAAAAGTGAACTTTGAAGTCAACACTTAGAGGCGACAGTCTGTTTCATGATAGACGCAATAATCAGGCCACACACAGTAAAGTCAGTGGCCTGATGATGATTGCGTTTAGCATGAAACTGTCTGTCGCCTCTGAGTGTTGACTTCAATGTTCACACACATTTTATTTATTTTGTTGGGATCAAATATGGATCAGAATCCGACAGAATAAGATAAAGAACAAATCCTAAACGTTTATTAATCCAACATGTTTCACATTTATTAAAGTTTCATCAGACTAAGATGAAAGGAAAAAATGAGTGAACTTTATTGGTTTGACCAAACTTTAATAAAAGTGAAACATCTTATGTAGCATTTATAAACGTTTCCTTTTTGTTCTGTATCAGATAGAAGAGACTTTAATATTAATTGGTATTCTTGTTAAGCTATAATTTATTACTAAAATTACTCTTATAATAATTCTGGTATTTAACTAGTATTTTATACAAAAAAAAATGGCTGCTATATCAGTTTTCTATGCTCAGCAGATTGTATTTGAATATTGAATTAACAAAAAAAAAAAAAAAATCGTCGGACAACAACTTGATGATAGTGTTTGATCACCGTCTCCTAGTAACGGCGCAGACACCAAACATTTCCAGAAGTTGTGCCTACGTATTTATCTTTCCAAGAATTACATTTTGCTCACACAAGGTCAGTCGTTTAAGTAGATTATATAAACAATCATTGTCATCAGTTTTTAGATTTTGTAAACTTTAAATGCTAACTTTGTTTTTATGCATTTGATATGTCATGTAAGAGTGAGTTTTTTTTTCTTTTTTCTTAAAAATAACAGAATGACTTTAGAGCAATATTTGAAAGGTCATCATTGAAATAGAAAGTACAGGCAGTTAAATAACTCTTCTTGTACATGATGTAATCTTTCCAGGGGAATAAGAAGCAGCCGATGTTATTAGGTCTCTCAAATTGGCTTCCATTGCACCTTCATCAATCACAGCCTTCCAGGACAATATAAATCTTTGACAGGTTTTTACGTCCTACATTGCATTTTTTTTTCTCACGTTTAAGGGATAATTCGATAACGTTGGTACAAAAAAAAAAAAAAAAAAATGACTAAAATCAATCGCCACGTCCCATTTTTTTGGTAAAAGTATAGCAATAACCCTCCCTTTCTTTTTTTTATTTTTTTTTTTTTTTTATATATATATATATATATATCAGCCACAATAGGATATTTCTTATTAAAGTTATGTTAGATCTGAGAAGGGATGATCGACTTTCGTTTTAAAAAATTACAAAAAAATCCATTAAAATCTGTTAACAATTCACATCGTCTCTGATAATGTTTCATAGTCCCGTGTATTAAAAAAAAAAAAAGTTATAAATTTAAAACTGTTCCCTCTTAAGAAACAATCGAATTTTTTTTTTTATATCTATTACACTATCCCAGATTAGTTGAAAGTACAAAACCCTGATAAAAGTGAACACGAGTATAATCGTCGTTCGAAAACTGCTTACTCCTTAGTGGTGTGTATCGTTTTTAATTTTAGTGGTGGTGGTGGCCGTAACCGACGCCCAGCATGCTGGCTAGTTACTCAAGAGGTTTCTAGGAGAGACTTCATGGAAACGCTAGTGGAGGCGTGGTCATAGATATCCATTCCGCTGCCCATGGACTCTGTGGCCCTGTCCCGATTGCCTGACCACTGGGGATGACCATGTTTCGTAAAAAAATGACGCACCAAGAAGAAACAGCCGACTAAAATGATGACGATGAGCAAAGTGACGCAAAGCCACACGTGACTTGGACTACCACTGCTTGCTCCTGAAACAAAAAAAGAAAAGAAAAAAAAAACATGAATAATTGATAGCCAACGACAGTAACAAAAATACTTTGCAACAGACAAATACAGAGTAAATCGTCGCCATTTTATATATTTAATTTCGCGAATGCGCCTCGTTGGTTTTTGATTTTATAGTAGAGTCAGAAAAAGGGCACCTCGACACAATTCACTCCGCGAGAAATTTAGAAACGGCGTGCTGTACTGATTGGCATTCGCGCCAGAATCTCCAATACGAACATTTCAGTCTATGGGTGTCAATCTGAGGACAGTGTACAGAATTCAGAAAGAGTTGGATGATTCTAATGGTGATTACCAATGTCCTGCAGTTCAGAAAACTCACTTTTATAAGAACTCTTGAATGTGTTGGTGAGGGCCTCCAACTCAAAGCGGAGGCCTTCATCAAGTGTCTTGACAATGTAGTGCTGCACTGTGTCAAGAGGATGGAAGACCTTATGTCTGGCTACACGACTCTGCACCATGCCACACAAGTAAGAGCTATCAGATAATTTCTGCGACCACATTACCCCTTACATCAGACCACCTAACTCCCCAGACTAGAACCACGTTGATCATTATGCGTGTGGCGCAGTTGAACGAGGGACCAAGAAAAAATTCTTGTAACACCAAAGATGAACTGAAGACAAGGATCATGGCAACATTCGCCCACTTAAAGAAAGAGACTGTCCAGAAGATATGCAGAAAATTCCCAAGTCGTCTGGAGGCCGTGGTTGAAACCAATGGCGATTTTATGGAATAAGTTTGCTCTTTAGTATTTCAAGATATTTTTTTATCTAATTTAGGTAAATATATCTGTTAAAATGACATGTAAGTGTTATTTTCATTTTTGCGTCATTTAGACACCCTCTAATGTTAAGAGTCTGTCATCAAATGAAACTAATTAATTTGCCTGTTGCCTTCTTTGCCTCTGAAGATAGTCGGAAATATAGTCATTTTAACGAAATACCAGTAATCAAAAATCAAGTGGCAGTTTCATACCTACGTTGAATGTACATCTGAAATCGTCAAAGCTCCAACTATTATTTTTTTTCACCAATGGTTAAGTTTGTTGAATTTTCATATTATTCAGTAAACAAATCTTTAATATTACTTCATCATCTCTTGCAGTCGGTGCTTGCGTGGTCCAATGACTCCGACAGCGTTGACGTTGGGATTTTTAAACTCCAGATATGGCTACCCTTGGCGGTAAGACCGAAAACTAGGACTGACACTAAACCCGACCAACTCCAAAGTCCCCGTCCGTCGAACAAGCCCATGAAGAGGGCTACGCATGACGGACACGCCTAAAGAAGGCGCCAATTGAAATTATGACGGATTAAGGGGGCGATCCTTTGGAGTTTCATAACTGGATTCTGCCATGTCTCATTCCATATGTGCCGCAGAGGAGGGTCATGAAATCAAATGTGTGATTCACTTCCTGGTATCTTGAGGTCCACCTTAAATTCACACCATCAGCACTTTCTTCTACTCTGATATTCTTTCACCTCCAACCAACTCTTGCAAAGCCAAACAGAGATAGGGAATAGATAACGAGAAAAGGAATTGGTGAAGCTGGAAACTTCTCATCCTCGACCTGCACGTTGGCAGCAAATTTCATCATAAAAGAAGCGATCAGAAAAGCTGAAATTAAATTGTTGCATACGAGATAATGCCAAAGACGTATATTAATTAATCACAGACCTTTAAGCCAGGGTTAGTCTTTAGATATCAAAGATATAGTCATTTTAATATTATCATTACTATTAATAAATCAACAGGCCTATTATTGAACCTTAATATCATTATATTTACGGAAATGGTACAATTTTCCTTTACACATTTTTGTTATGGTTAAGTTTACTACCCCCCCCCCTCCACAACCACCACTGATAATTCTTCTAAATAAAACTGGACAGCCTGGTTCGTTACATTCACTTACACACAAGTAACTTTGGGAAAGGTATGAATCCATTCCTGCTCCCCCGCTATGGGTTAGATAGTAAAACTTGTATATGGAAAATTCTTTTCTCCCCGAAAGTGTTTATGCAATATTCACTCCCCCATATATCTCCCCAAAATATATTTCGGGATTTAACCTTTGCATCTTCAGGGCATTTTCTTGTGAACTATGCAAACGTTCATGCTTGTTTTTTTCAGATTTATAACTATTGCAATGCAACTCATTTGGTAAATAGAATGGGCTGATATATAGTGTTTCACATAATACAATCCTTCATGTGATGCACAGAACGTACAAATCATAAGTTATTTACACTACGGTCTGTTCATCACATGTGATGCAAAGGTTATAATCATTTCAATAAAGGGGAAAAATGGATATCTTTTATTAGAGAACTTACATTATACGTCAAGCAACTCAGCTTATTTGGTAAATAGAAATATTCTGATATATAGTGTTTCACATAATAAAATCCTAAATGTGATGCACAGAACGTAGAAATCATAAGTTATTTACACTTCGCTCTGTTCATCACATGTGATGCAAAGGTTATAATCATTTCAATAAAGGGGAAAAGTAGATTTCTTTCATTTCAGACCTTACATTAGCAGTAAAGCGTCCTTTGGTCATGTATGATGCAGAAAATATTACATTAAACCTTTCCTCAGACGTCTTGCTGAATACATGACATTTTTATTGAGTCTCCTTAGTTTTGTTACTCTTTTAAAATCATGGCTCTTGTGCTCGACATACGATTTTCACATCCGTGCAACATATGTGCTGTGCATCACATATGACGCGCAGGATAGGCAAAGCGTTAAATAAGCTGCAGATCAATTCCCTCGGCTGTTTGTTAAATAGTAGTCTAGAAAAATAGTTGTTACTCTTACAAAATTATTAATAGTCACTTTCACTGCATAATTTGATTTCATGCTCATTATCAATCAAGAAAAATAAATATGCTCCTCGCAGCACATGGAGAGGTTTTCTTTCTGAAGCCATTGGATAAATTCGCTTTCTGTAGTTAGCGGTAATAACAATTTTGGCGGATGTATCAGCTTTCCGTTGCGAAAGGGTTAAAAAAAAAAAAAAAAAAAAAAAAGACAGACACAGACGCACATTATTCTGACAATTCAAAATATACAGGAATCTTTCGATTACTGTAGCTAATGTATGCATTAAAAAAATACTAATTGAAAATGCATTAATCAAATATAATGCCTTATAGGAAATGATGCAATTTGTACGTCAGATACTAGTCTCATTCACAATTAACTTCTAATTTGCGTACGTTTAATAAAGAAGTACATCAATATACAAGATACAATAAAAATGCTAGGAATTAATGTTTATTAATCTCATTCTTTATGAAAAACTTATTAAGAGTGATTTGCCGCATGATGTTCTTCTGTTCGTCATAAAATTAGCGGTACTGAGAAATTGCCGCTTCAAATTTTCCAAATATATACTCGTTCGTATTTTAACCTGAACCTTTTATTTATCATCTGTCAATATTGAATGTATACATCTTATATAGTTCGATATTTTTCAATACATGTATGTTCCTGTGTCTAATTAAATCGTCCATTTTTTTTTTAAAACAAAAATTGATAAATTTCCTTTTAAAGACCATCAAAATAAACATGAAAAAAACATTCAAAATAAATATTTTAATAGACGCATATACAAATATTAATTTTTATTATCGGCTTATAAAATTAATTTATTTATTTATAACCGCTCATTTTTTTTAACACTATTGTAATTACATAACGTAATACTTGACAAACAAAATAGTTACCCATTTAACTTTTTGAAAATTTTAGAACATTTTAATTAATCGATAACTATAAAAAAAATCAATTTTCAATTACTATGGTTGAACTGAAGAATGTTTTACCGCACTAATCGAGTATCATGTATACATTTATCCAATGTTGGTATCTAAACATTTTAGTGCACTAATCGAAAACGCATTAATCGAGGGATACCTGCATTCCGGCTTTAAATAAACCACAAACGTTTGGTAAATCATAAAAAAAAAAATCTCAATTGTTATTCTTAATAATTTTAGTAGTATTATTATCGTTCTAAAACACAAGATATATTCTGAGCCGGCTCCAATATTGAAGTTTCATGAGAATATGGAATTCACAAGCAGTCCCCAAACCTGCATGTATAGCACATGAGATTTGATTATAGTGGTGAAGGTTTCGTGCAGGACCATCCACACTTTTTGAAGGGCCGATTACAGAGACCTGGTGCACTACGTGCCACAAGGTCCCAAACGACCCTCCGCAGGTTTTGAATTCAGAGTTTTCCTTCTCCTAGACCAGTTGCCATCCAAGGCTATAGAACCCATGTAAAAGAGTGACTTTCTTTCTTTTAGATATATAATAATATCCAAAGCAAAATGGAAGGAACTAATGAGACAAAGTGGAGAATAACTTTATAGGATGCGTTTCGTTGACGTAACGTCAAAACTGTGCGGGGAAAAAAATGCCTTGGGATTTTTTTTTAAAAAAACACCAAACAAACACACGCTTTCTGGGCGTCGGATCTAATTAAGCTAATTTACTATATTGCCTTTCTTATTCTCAAAAATTGCAACCTATTTTCATTTCGTACAGTTTCGTTTTTCATTCTAGCCATGATATTCTGAACCAAACACACGTCAGCGAAACAAATCGTTAACTGGAACAAAGAATGGCTTGTTAATTTTAACGCCTCTAAAACAAAACTACTCGCTCATTAGCATGGGTGATGCTAACCTCCAGGAGAATGATACGTTGCGCTTTCTCGGCTGATATGAAGGAGAAGGACCATATTGAATCCATTGCTCGGTCCAAAAAAGAAAAAAAAAGGTCGTTTGTGCTAGACGGTTTTTCTTTCTAGAATCTATCCTATATATCTATAAATCTACTATCCACCCATACTTTGAATATGGCTGCCACATATGGTTCAGTGCTTCTGCTATTTATTTAGAGATTCTTGATAAGATCCAAACAAAGATCAGCAATATTAATGGTTGCCTTTTCTATAAATTTTATTCTCTTTTTCTATAAATACTTTAATGGTAATTGTTTAGGTGAGCTATGGTATCTGCATTTTATGAATTTAATCGCAGTACAAGATTGAAAACAAGTTCTGTGCTAACAGTTTCTTTTCTTACAGTTCTGGTTTTTGGAACTCTCTTCCAACTTCTTGATTTCCAATCAACTTTGATCTTGAAAAAAAGTAAATGCAATGTCAATCTTATTGTTCTTTTCTTACATTCTCTCACACTCAGTAGCCTGTTGATTTTAGTGGCTTTATTACTTTGCTTGGGGTGAAATGATTAAACGTGACTAAAGTAAAAAAAAAATGTTACAAAATTTATTTGTCCGCCTGTATTAGTAACACACAAATTCATTTGTCGTATTTTTCTTTAAGTAACAAAAAAAAAAACTTTCGTCGTAATAATAATTTTTATTTTATATTCGATAGTTACTGAACAAAATATTTACTATTTTGTGCCATCTTTCATCTATGTTCATCTTCACATCCACCTTGGAGTTTTTAAATAAAAAAAAAATGACGTTTTGTTATCTTTCTACGCAAATAACTTGTTTACATGATTTTTTTCTTTTATAAATACGTGAATAAATATTAATCCGACAGTAAAGTCTATGGCTTAATGAATAAGTGAGGGTACGTGCTGTATTTGGTACAAAAAGTATTCTTAGATATAAATGCTAACTGGAATATTCATGCCAGTAGGAATTCTTCAATTTCTCTCAATAGTAACAGATATAGGTTAAAGTTTGCTTTCATTATATAGCAAAGAGGTCATACTAAAGATAATTTTGAGCTACAATTTTTAAGGAGTCTTACCTTGTGTATGTGTATGGTATGCTGCTAAAAATCCTGTGTGTTCCGTCGTTGAATTAGTATGGAATATCACGAACATATCTCGGCCCGTAGACACGAATTTTGGTTGCTCGATTCCACACCATTTACCAAGACGATGGTCATATTCGGTGGCACCTGAAATAACAAAAATGATGCAAGAACAATCGCTGTTTAATTTAGGAGAAACCCCAGAAACTTAAAAAAAAATCAAAAACAATTCTTGCTTGGTATTTATGGTTTACATATTTGATATCATAATCCCCAAGTTTAGATTCAGATACACTATCAACTGTATTAAAGCTTAAAAAAAATTGATTCTGAGGTTAAGCTACAGGCTAAAGCTATATCAATGTGGCCTAGAATACAGCGATTTTATCTCCTGCAGAAAGAATTTTTTTTTTTAATAATTGATGCGGTTTCTATGGCTTCTCAACCCACTTGCAGTTTATTTAAAGCCAGAAAAAAAGTTTTAGATTGTAGATTATTTCTTGTAGATAATGGGTTTGGTCATACAAGTTTTAATAATTAACCCATAGCTAGGAGAGTAGAGGTAAATGCATATCTTTCACAATTCGCATAAGTGAATATAACGGACTAAACTGGAATTGGAACTCGGCTCACCGATTAACAATTCAGTCGTTATCCATTACACCACCCGCACATCAAATCTTCCGGCGGCTGCCATTTCCAAGCCGTCACCCATCTTGGTAATGACCAGGCTAGACTTTACTTCATTTCGGTGATTCTACAGAAAGCAGTGTTTCAACGTGCAGTAAGCCTACATTGATTTTGAAATAGACCTAAGCACCAATTTTATTAAAGTATGTATTATTTTCTTTTTTTTAACTTCCCCGGGGAATGGGAAACTAATCTATTTATTAATAAATTTGATTTACTTGCCTTACTATTAGAACATTCAATTGAAAAAAAAAAAATCGCTATTTGCAGCCCACCTCGATGTGGCAGGTAAAATATTTTCAATATTTTCAGCTTGTACAAAAATGATGCATAAATTCGTTACCGAATCGATGATGACGATTATGTTGCTATCGTCATTATTATTATTATTATTATTATTAGGGGTGAATATAGAGACCAAAATATTTAACAAAAAAAGTGAGGAAGTGCTTTATTCCACTCATTTGTGCCCAAATAGAAGGAAATGGGCCAAACTTTTGAAAATTTTGGAAAATTGGGATGGAGCCATGCCGAAACGTACCCCCCCAAAAATCACTAAAAATGACAACGTATTCCAAAAAGTTGGCCCAGTTCCTTCCATTTGGACACAAATGAGTGGAATAAAACATTTCCTCACTTCTTTCGAAAATTTTGGTTTCTATACCCCATTATTATTATTATTATTATCGTCTTCATTATTGTTGTCGTCATTATTTTTGTTGTTATTTTGTAATTATTACTATTATTCTTTTTGTCGTCATTGTTATTATTATTATTCTTTTTGTCGTCATTCTTATTATTATTATTCTTTTTGTCATTGCTATATTATTATTATTATTATTATTATTATATTTTTGTCGTTGTCATTATTATTATTATTATTTTTGTCATTATTATTATTATTATTTTTGTCGTCATTGTTGTTATTATTATTATTATTATAATGTTCCAGTATTTTGCCATTCGATTATTTTCGTTCATTAACATTGATGAATAATTTAAATATAGCAATTACAATTTCTTTTAGTACTATGTACCAAGCGCGTTATCGGTTATATCACCGAAGTGTTGGGCTCTAAACGACACTCGAACACTTTACACTAGCAAATTACGCTTTTCATCAGTTACCGAAATTCGATGTATCTTCTGAAGGCAGCCATCTTTTTGGCAATACGCCTCTGGCGAGAGATCACGTCAAAAATGGCGACCAAGATATGTTTGAACGACTTGTACAAAATGAGAGAAAAAATGCCAACGTTTGATTAGTGGGAAAACTGACATAGCCGTCTTTTTCTAAAGGCATTCCACAAATAAAAACTCAGATCCCGACAAAGTTTGAAGTAAATTGGACCTGTGCTGTCAAATGAAAAAAATAAAAACGTAGAAAGACAAAGTTCAATTTATGTGTTCTTTGTTGTGTGCAGTGCAAATATGGTAGAAATACATATGTTAGAGTAAAGATATTTCATATTTCGTACAGTTAGTTCCAAAATCTTGCTGCAAATAACTGGAACATTTTATTCACATCAAAATTCTTACAATTTCAAACCATTTCTGCTGATATTCAAATTGTATCCATTGTATTTCGTTCATTTTGCTTACAGTGTAGATTAACAATGAAATCAGATGATAAAGTCGTTCCATTAATCTCTTGATAGGCTGGGTTGTTGACTTTTACGACATATCATCCCTTGTTAGATTAATTAACGCCGAAATCAGATTTTTTTTTCTCTACTTAGAATTATAACCACTCCCTTACCCCTAGGCTTACGGCCACATCACTTTAAATCACAGTTCCCGTACGGTCACGTTATTGGTTGATTAGAACTTACAATTAGTGTCTGTTTTTATCTTGGTATTATTAGCAATTTAATAAAGGTCTATACATTTACTATCAACATCATATCCCTTGTAATTAAATTAAAGACATTAGTTCCATTTCATCCTCAAACGAATTTTGGAGTAACTTATAAAATTACTGGGTTTTAAAGACAACAAAAATCATAATTCACGTTTCCAAGGAAATAGAGAAATTCATTTCAACCAGACGAGGGGTGTTTGCGTGTTCATTATGTCTGTATTTTGATGTAACAGCTATTACTTACGTTTTGGTAGGGGGTGGGGATGTATTCTTCAATGAAATCTGACATCCGTTAAATGCATGTCGTCTGGATTTTTTAAAATTTTATTGTTAACGGCAAAATTCGCTTGAGGATGAACTCGAACTAATGTCTTTTAATTTAATTACAAAATTAAATTCGGACCTTCCATATTTTATAATATTAATGCTCTGTAAATTTACATTGAGCACTATTTTGTAAAAATAAAAATATCTATAAGAACACCGGATTATATATCTTACTGTTCTTTCTTTTTATTTATATATATATATACACACACACACACACACACATATATAAACTTGACATTCTTCATTATTCTAGAATTTTGTTAAACCTTCTCGGAACGCCGTATTTTATTTTTGCGTCGACCGAATGGCATTGTGAACTCCATAATTCCTGCCTTGTTACTATTCATCACACTTCATGATTGGGCGCCTCCATGTGTGTAATTGTTAGCAAGCTTGTCTCGCAAAGAACAATTACAACTAAGTAGTGAGTTTGACCCTCACTGGGTGCCATATCTAAGGAAAATCATTTTATGGGCGCTTAGACTTTTTCTAACGGTTAGCAAGCTTCATTTGTTACAATAATGACGACAGTGCTAAGTTCGAACCATACTTTCGGCCTTGTGCCACACCTAAGCTACGCTTAGAAAACCGCCATCCCATTTCTAGATAATATTATCGTCAGAGACTTTCGGAATCAAATATTTTACTTACCATCGTAGACAACCACGTAATCAATTTCACAACCAGGGGATAAGAATATATCAGAGAAGGCCACTTCTAACACAACCGTTTCCTCAGAATGTTTTGCTCTTATTGCCCACGATCTGGATATCGAACTGAAATAAAATAAACACGTACAACCAATTACACATATATAGCAATAGATCGTTTCTAAAGAATTAATGCATTTATTTTTAATTCGACATTTTTATTACTTCAAGTGTAATGCAAGTTTGATTCTTGACGGAAGGAACATTTTCATTATTAAGACTTCCCGGATACGTTGGCCGATAGATGCAATAGGCACTGTTTAAAGTAAAAATACAAATGGGGCGTCTATTTGAAATAAGCATATCCCCTAAAAATAATAAAAGTTGAAGTAACAGGAATATATATTTAATACAAGTTTTCATAAATTCACCCGAAATTGTCTGCAATATTTTCACTTTGTCATTAACATCACATTCAAAAGCTTGGAGCTATCTGTAGCAAGAAACGTTACAACATATATATGATTCCAGTGTAATAAATTATAACCATGGAATATTAGTGTTTGAGCCTTTATATATATATTTGATAAATTCATTTCCAAACATGAATTTTGCACAGTTTACCCATGAATATTGACTTCGATGGAGAACGTCTTAATATAATAAAAAATTTAAACTTTATAGGTCGAATTTAACAAATTTTGTTTGAATTCTAGCTGCTTATCTATCTAAAAAATGAAAAGAAAAGACTATTATAATTTTCAGTCAATATACAAAAAAAAACATACTGAATATATTTATCAACTAATATTTATAATGAAAAACAGATCAAATTGCCGCATGAAAACCGATAATTGAAAAAGAAACAAAAATAAACCGACGTGTCACCCACGGATACGTGGAAACGTATACACAGGAATCACCCAGCAAACACAAAAATAAACTTTTTTTTTTATAATGACTTATGAAAGCTAAAATCACTCATATTGGACAATTTATGCTTTCATTCTCTCCATAAACGAGATAAATGATTTAATCATCGTAGAAAACAAAAAACAGATTTCACTCGTCACCAACGAAACATATATACGAAGTTAGGTAAAAAAATTACCCGCACTTTGGCCATAATATATCTAAGTTTGTCACACGTCCTTCTGCTCATGCGTGCTTATTGTTGCTGTTGTGGTCACATGAAAGAAGTTTGAGCTTGATCCCGCCTATTTTTTATGCTGCTGTTACAGTGTAAACATGACCGCTTCGTTAGCAGTGTGCACCAAAAAAAGAACAAAGTTCAATGATCCGATTTTTCTAGTCGGAAGTTGTGTCAATAGCTGAAATGCATCAGAGGCTTTTAACACAATACCCCGTCAGTGCAATACCACGTAGAAGTGTTTATGAGTGGAGCAAGAAGTTTGAAAGTGACCGGACAAGCGTGACGCACGAAGAAGGAGCAGGATGTCTGCCACGCTTCACCAAGAGCGAGAAGAAGCGGCATGTTATCATCGATGAGGTAGCATGTTGTCCGCAGATTAGGATCACTGCTCTTTGTTCTCCCTTGGTACACACTCCTTGAATCCCTATGATTATTATATTTTTAAATATTACTAGCAGTATAATCTGTCTTCGACAGGTTGTTTAATTGCTGGGAATTTTTGCCTTTCAATTGGAGGAGTTTAAGTTTAAAGTCAGCTCACCCGAAAAACACGTTGTTTTGGTTTTTTACATTCAAGGTGAATTTTCCAGCCAATTTTGACTCAAGACTGACACTGAAGAATTATCTATCAAACAAAATAATTTCAAGGAAATCGGATGAAACCTGTGGAAACGCATAAACAACATCCGATCACACACACATTTCGAGAAATATAGATATAGATTACATTTTCAGGTTCTCATCACAGTTTAATTATAATTAACTTATTTATAATTATATTAATAAGAATTATTTATAATTTATATAATTATATAAATTTAACTGTATAATAAATAGTAATATTGTAATAATTTAAACTATTTTTATTAAAGTTTTTCTGAAATATATATATCAAAGAACAGATGGTGAATAGTAAAACGTTGCTCAGAGTTATAATGGGCAGGAAGTAGTGGAGAGCCATTGTCATCAACAGGTTGGGCTCAAAACTGGCACTGAAGAATTATCTATCAAACAAAAAAATTTCATCGAAATCGGATGAAACCTGTGGAAATGCATAAGCAACATTCCAAGAATATGCTATGTGTATAGTAAAATTAAAAGTATAAAATTAAACAAAAATTATTCAAAATTATTTAAAATGAATCTTTAGCCGACCTTTATTGCGGAAACCATAGATTTGCGTGGAACATCGGTTGAGAAACACTGGATTTGTACGAAGAACAGCTTTGGAGAAAGTCAAATTTGCGAAACGAAGGATATATTTTTTTTTAACTTACAAATCGTCAATCACTCGTCAAATCTTGCTAATATATCACTTGTGAGAACCTACAAAGTTCGATTTCCATGTAAAGAAAAGTATGTAGCCATTATATAGACAGCAGACATCGTTATTAGCACCAAGTAAAATGGTCAAAGGGAGCACCGGAACCGCCGGACTTGGGGGAAGAAATGTAAAAGATCAATGGAATCACCGCCACGACACTCACAGAGAAGAGACGACCAGTAAAGCTAGCTTTTTTTTCTTCTTAAGCATTTCACCCCAAGAAAAATCAGTGGGTTCAATCGAGAAAAAGAGGCGTGATGGAGAAATGGATCAGAGAATAGTTCTGGAGATGTCGATTGACATTACATTTGAAATAGTTGGAGAATATATCAGGGAAACAAGTAATAGGAATGAAAACCACAGACTGGAGGTTCGAGACATGAAGCTAAAGAAGAGTCGGTCCCATTTAACCGTTTCGACAGTTGGACCGTGATGCCAGCCTAGTAGCACGCTTAAATTCATGCAGTCTCGTCGGAGCATTTACCATTTGTAGAAAAGACAGTGGGAGGCGACGGCACGTCTGTGAGAGAGCGACTGAAGACGAGATGCCATATCAGCTCGTGCTATAAAGCCGAACCAACCGACAGACTATTACTGTTCTATTACCATCATGTATGCAAGAATATTTTGAATCGATGGTAACCCTGAGAACCTGTGAACATAACACCAATAATGCTAGAAATCAATTAAAGTAAAATACATATTATTGTCTTGTTGAAAGTTATTCTCGTCTTCGCCATTATTCACAGATCTGTCGTGAAAATCACTCTACTGTAGATTGAAAAGTTCGCAATCCCGAGCAGCAGCTAAACATTGCGCTATTATTAAATGGTAATGGTAATCTATTTACATTATTCGGACTATTGTCCTCATTTTTGTGTCCATATTCATTACAATGTTTCGGCCGTTTTTTTCCTTCAATGTCGAACTGAACCCTTTATTTCACTTTGGTAGACTGTTCTAGTTCCATGTACCATGTCTAATGGATGTTATCAATCATTTTCTGTTACTCCTCCAAGTTCTCCAGTGGGCATTGAACTCACGCTCTTTGGGTCCTGTCACTGATCTAACCAACACCTTTATCCACTTTGTGAAATAAAGGGTTCAGTTCGACATTCCAACCAGAAGAAGGCCGGAGGCAATGAAACGTTGTAATAAATATGGCGACAAAGATGAGGGAATAATGTAAATAGTGTACATAATACCTCATCTCAGAAATATAGACAGGTAATGGTAATATTAGTTTCTTTATAATGAAAACTTTGACATTCATTAACCGAGCAGTGTTTTGTTTTGTGGGGTTTCACTATTAGCTTGAACCCTAACAGGTTATACCACGCCGGGTCAGGGTGTACCAAGGAAAAACGGCAATTAAGAGATGTTTTTAGAGATCAGAAACCTCCTATGATATCACTGATGAATCTTACCACCAGGTTGTTTGAAGATTGTGTTATATTCCTGAAAATTTTATGTGGACTTAGTTTCAGTAATTTATCATGATTTTTTTATAAGCATCCGTAGTGTTTATTCCACAATTGTGACATCTATTCAGTTAATGGTATTAAAACATCATTAACAAATGGACTACAAAACTGTGGGTTCTAGTATAGTATGATATCTACTGTAACTGATGAGCCACTCTACCAAACAAACCACATACGGCCTACAGAAATTAATTCTTCAAACAAAATACAGTGTTATTTTAACCCAAATAGTGGGTTATCTAATTTAAAAAGACAATAATGCAAAACGATTTTTCTGTGTAACTTGCTCGATTTTAAGAGGGTTCTCATATTTGTTGCAGGTTTAGCTAATTCAAATATTAATAAATATCATAAGGTTTTTTTTGCATTTTTACAAAACACTGGTTCAAGTTTACATTGTTTGCAGTCGACGTATACACACGTTTTCGATAAATAGTCAAATATCCATCTCTAGACTTTGATATATAACTAGCATTTGGTATTATATCCCAGACAAGGGTAGATATATATTAATGTAGAATATGTCCTGTTTTATGACGTATGTTTGTACTGTGTGTTGGTGAGAGTGTAGGTAAGCTTCGTCTTGACAGCCGAGTATCCACTCAAATTCAAAATGGCGCCACTTATTAGAAATTACCACCGCTCTCTTTATAAACATTTAGTTCTAGCAAATGGCATTTTCCTATTTTTTCCGGAAACGTGCCAGCACAACCAGGCAACAGTGCTGTAACAATCAACCTGTTGAACATTAATTTTGAGAGAATCTTGGAGAAAGGCCTCGAGTAAACATTGTGTTAATATAAGCGTGCATTTTGGATAAAGTTTTCAAATCATTTTATTTGATCTATTTTTTTTTATATATCGATTTCAACTTAAAAAAGTTAGCCACTATATGGTATGGGCCATGTAGAAGAATCAATGTAGCACACAAATCATTGTACGCTAATTTCATGTTAAAATCGATAATTAAGATGGGCTTGTTTTGATTGATGAGCATTTAAAATACTAAAATGGGACAGTTTTTAAAAGCCACTTAAAAGCTTAAAAGCAAAATAGAAACACGTAAAACGTTCGTAAAAGACTTAACGATGTTCATTAATATAAAATGCTTAATCCGTTAACAAACTCTTAGAGCTGAGCCTTTAATACGTTCCATTATTTTATC